CCTTGGCCTTGGTTCTCAGTTCTTGGATCTCCTTTTCAGTGTGATTTCTGCCACACTTGAACCTTTACATGACCAGTGTTTCATCTGTACAAAGTTAACCTTTTTCTTCCTTGCCTTCCATTTCTTCCTTCCTCCCTCCCCATTTCCTGTCTTTTCTGAGACAGAGTCTCAGTTGGTCCAGGCTGACCTTAACCTCCCTGAGTAACTGAGAGTGACCTTGTGTTTCTGATCTTCCTGCCTCTAGCTCCCTCCAGTTTGGGGATCACAAGCATACAACCTCTACAGCCAGCTGGAGAATGACTTTGGTTCTTGGTCTTCTGGCATTTTCAGAATTAGCAGAGCCAGGACAGAACAGGGATATGGGGAAGTTAATTTCAGCTGATGATGTTGGAAGAACAGAAGTAATAGACAGTGTTTGAGTTGGATAGTTAAACATGAGGAGTCACTTAGCAAGTGGACACAGGGTGATGGAGAGAGGCTGGCTTTTCAGTTTCCGAGAAAACTTTCCATACACTTGTGAATACCAGCCATGGTGCTTGCCTCCTCTGACATCTCCCTCCACTTTAACCAACTGCAAGGCCCCAGAATGAAATCCTTTCCTTTTCCTTTTTGGTCTATAGTTCCAAGATTTCACAGCTATCTTGCAAATTACATTTTAAAAACTGCTTAAGTATTTAAGGGAAGCTCTTTCTTAAAGGATTCTTTTGATAAGGAGCAAATTGCCTCTGGTATTAATTTGCTTATGATGACTCAGTGTGACACAGGCTTTATGAGCTGCTCTGGCTGGAGGCATAAAGATAACACTAATGAGGGCTTACAATGCATTGAGTAGAATTGGAGTGTCATCTTTCACTCTAACCAAGCCCTTATTCATGTGGGGGTAGGGGGTAATAGGTGTATATGGAAGCCAAGGGACTCCCTTGGGTAATGGGTTCCATCTTTTAAAAAGAGAGAGAGAAAGATTCATTTATGTGTATGTATGTGTGCCTGAGTGTGTGTGTACATCACCTGTGTGCAAGTACTTTGGAGGCCAGAAGAGGGCACCAAGTCCTCTGGAAGAGCAGCAAATGCTCTTAACTACTGAACCTTTTCTCCAGCCTGAGTTAAATCCCTAAAATAGTGGAAGGAGAGAACCAGCTTCTTTTCTCAGGCCAGAATACCAAGATACTAATGTAGAGTGAATACAAAACTGTCAAAGGAGCCAGATGTGTGGTGCATGCCAGTAATTCCAGGATCGTGGACATGCAAGCAGAAGGATAAAGAGTTCAAGGCCAGCCTGAGCCACCCGAGACCTTCTCTTAAAAAAAAAAAAAAAAGACACACAAAATGGGCTAGAAAGATGGTTTCAACAGTTAAGAGCATGTATTACTCTTGCAGAGTGTGTGTCCAGTTCCCAGCACCCACATTTGGCTGCTCCAGAGTGCCTGTAACTCCAGTTCTAGGGCACCCAATATCATCTTCTGGCCTTCATGAAGCACCTGAACACACATGGTACACAGAAACACACGCAGGCTTACATACATATACATCAATAGTAAATCAGGTTTTGGTTTTGTTTTGTTTTTGTTATCACACAAACTGTCAAAAAAATCCAAAATATTTATCCATTCAAAACATGGTCTCTTCTGGAATATCTTAGAGAAGTTTCTTCATATTCCTTGAACCCAGCCACAGGTTGTCATATTTGAAAGAATTTGATGAGATCTAGGAGACATGTCAGTCTAATTGGCAGTTAGAAAATAGGCTAGGAGCAGGGCGTTGGTGGCGCATGCCTTTAATCCCAGCACTCGGGAGGCAGAGGCAGGTGGATCTCTGTGAGTTTGAGGCCAGCCTGGTCTATAGAGCAAGTTCCAGGGCAGGCTCCAAAACAATACAGAGAAACCCTGTCTTGAAAAACAGACAAACAAACAAACAAACAAACAAACAAAACAAAACAAAAACAAGAACTAGTAAGGAACTAGTGTGAGCTAGGCCAAGCTTTTAAAATTAATAATAAATCTCATGTCATTATTTACATGCTGGCAGTCTGACAAGAAAGTACTACTAATAATCAGTAACCAGTCATTTGACTTTATGAAAATTAACTTTCTCAATTCTTTGTTTTTATTTTCATATTTAAAACTAGAGGATATTAATTTCCTCTTTATAGAGCTGTTTCAAAGTTCAACCAGACACTGCAAATACTGGTACATTTCTTGTTATGTATTAGATATTCAATAAATATTAATTGAACCTGAGCACTGTAGGAAATTTCTTTTGGAAACCAGCTCCTGGATATTTTAATTTACAGTAGATTTCCCTTAGCCAGATACAGTGGTGCGGCCTATAGTCCTGGTACTTGGGAGGCTGAGACAAAAGATTGCTTTAAGTTTGAGGCCAACCTGGTCTAATAGCAAGTTTCAGGGCAGCCAGATTACATAAGAAATCCTTGTCTCAAATTAACAAACAAAGAGAGAGAGAGAGAGAGAGAGGTTTTCCAGTAATGTGCAGTGGGTGCCAGTTGCACAAAATTCTGTGGTGTTTACTTAACCAAGGGCACTACTCCCTGCCCTGAGAGGAAGAAGTAGATACCAGAAGGTTAACCGCTGGGTGACTCCCAATTCTGGGTGTAGCTGGAATTTACCTCAAGCATGCACTCCAGTCCTCTTCTAGGCTGCATTTTTTTTTTTTGGTTTGTTTTTTCAAGACAGGTTCTTCTGTGTAACCTTAGCTGTCCTGGAACTCATTCTGTAGACTAGGTTGGTCTCAAACTCATAGAGATCTGTCTGCCCCTACCTCCCAAGTGCTGGAATTAAAGGTGTGTACCACCACTGTCTGACCCCCGGGCTGCATTTTCAGAAGGTTATCAAGACAGAACATTATTTCTATCCATGCCATTACACTCCTTAGGGATCTTCTTCTCAGAGCCCTTCCCAAGAGACAGCTATTACACAGTGAAAAGAAACACAACCGTACACAGATATGGTTATTGAAGGTATATTATAAATTATAACAATGAGAACAACTCACACGTGTAGACGATAACCAGATCGGCACTCCGAGAAGCCTAGTCTCAGATGCCTCCGAGACCTGGCCTGAACCCTGAGAGAGGAGGAGCGCCTCCTCTCCTTGCTCTTTATCTACCCAAATGGGTGTGATCAGCGGTACAGGTATCCAGGGTCTTTCCCTACAACACAGGACATCATCAAAAAGTCCTCTGGGGTGTTTCCACTTTCTTCATCTTCCCCTCCCTAAACTATCTACTTTATTTCCCTCCTGTGACCAGTTGCTTCTGTCATTTACTCTCACTCACATTAGCCCAATCTCACTGACTAATAAGGAACATGAAGTTGGAATGAGAGGATGGGATGGAGCAGAAACTGACCAGGACCATGAGGCAATTGCCACCTCACAGGAAGCTGTTAAACAGCACTGTTTCCTCACTTGGACCCATAAGATAACTAAAAGCAGGATAAAGCCTAGCATCTCTGCTTTCATTTTGTGTCTGCCTTCCTGTTTTGGGTTGCCTAGTTACCTCTGCATGTAGGCATGTTCATCATTCAAGGGATGCCTATCCAGAAACCCGTGATATCCCATCCCCCAACAAGGATAAAGGCATAAAAATAAAGTAAATGAGACACCTTATAGTCAGCTTTTACAATTACTCTCCTGTAGCCGGTCTTTCTTTGGACTGCTAGCTCCCAAAAAATGACACAGAGACTTCTTATTGATTATGAAAGCTTAGCTTTAGCTCTTATAACTTAAATTAACCCATTAATATTAATCTACATTTTGTTACGTGGCTCATTACTTCTTCTTTATGCTGTACGTTCAACTCCCCAAGCCCTTGGCAAATTCCCTGCCTCTCAGATCACTTCCCCCCTTCATCTTTCTGCCCTGAAGTCCTGCCCATCTTCTCCTGCCTATCAATTGGCCACTCAATTCTTAATTAAACCAATCAGAAGGTGCCTTGGTAGAGACACATTTTCACTGTATACAAAAAGATTAACCCACAACACCCCTCAAAGGCATTTGAGTCACCTTGGATTCCACGAACATCAGAGCATCCCAGGTCAGAACAGCTCCCAGATGAGGGCATCCGATCCTTAGGGAGGCTGCACCCTGGAGCATCTTCTGAGAATGATACTGTCCCCGCAGGCAAAGGTGACTCTTTGGACCACTTTGCAGAAACAGACTGAAGCAATGACCAGCTGACACATCATGACTAGCGTTGCTAAATTATACGTACTTCTTGCTCCCTGCCCCAGTTCTTCCTCTGCTTAAACCTTAAACGTGGTCTTATTTGTCTCTTTGTCTGTTCCTTTCCTGAGCGTGCACATTCATGAAATCTATTTCTGCTTTTCCACTTTACTCCTCTCTTTGTGTTAGGGGCACCATCCCCTGGAGTGACTCACGGCCTTTTCTGTCCCGAGTTGGTCTGAAAAATCAAAACAAAACCTTCATGTAGCACCGACTGGTCTTGAATTAATTCCGTATGTAGCTGGATGAAGATTACTTTAAACTTCTGATTCCTCTCCTTCTGCCTCAGGTGCTGGGATTACAGGCATGTACCATCACACCCAATTTATGCAGTGCTTGGGATCAAATCTAGAGCTTTGTGTGTGCCTGAGTACGCATTCTACCAACTCAGCTACATCCCCAGTCCCTTAGCTTTTATCTGTCTTCCACGACAAGTTTAAAAAGCTGGTATCATGCCGTCGCATTAGTAACCAAGGGTATAAAGACAAGCCTTGCTCCGTATTATATGTCTTTTTACAAAAGGCCCGCCAGGCAAGAAGGAAACGTACTATCAAAAAAGCCCTCTAGACAGTCTTTCTGGATTCCAGAGGGCAGGTATGTACAGGAGCTGAGAGCATTTTTTTTTTTTTTTTCCAGCTTACTCCTGGTGTCTGTACCCTGTTATAAAACCCTTCCCATTGTAAAGAACCAGGTCCGTGTGGAGCCGCGCCCTTCTCCCTCGAACTACAACTCCCAGCATGCAGCCTGCACCAAGAGTACGCAAGCGCATCGGAGGGGACGGGGGAACTAGCTACACAGACAGCGCGGTCGGGTTTTGGGGGCAGCTGGAGGAGGGATTCGGCAACTCCCAGAAGTTGAGGCGCCGCGGAGCGTGGGCGCAGAGAAGAGCGAGTTAAACTTTGCGGGCTGTGCAGGAGGTCGGCGGCCGGACGCCAGCAGGTGAGTTCAGCACCGTGCTTTCCAGGAAGTCCGTCGGCGGGCGCGGCAGCGGGGCGCGCCGGCCCGGGCG